TATTTGCCATTTTAAAAAGTTCTGTTCTGTAGTTCCCAAGTCCATTCTCAGTGCCTGCTGTGCTGTCTCACCTTGTTGTTGAGAGGATTACAAGTCCCAGCCTTGGACAATTGTATTTCTGCCGGGCTCTGAACACCTCAGAAATACAGCATGACATATGTTCCCAGATGAGAAATTGCTCCAGAAGTTCCTCAGGGCACCTTTGATCTTCCATCAATTTTCCAGCAGTCTCTCTAGCTCCAAAGCTTGCAGTTGGAAAGGGAGCAGGGGATTATTACCTTGTGCTTAGTTTTGGAGGCATAACACAATGTTGGGAACGAGTCCCTGCTAGTTGAGGGAGAAAAAGGGACCTGATAAACATAGCCTTTTTTGTGGTGGCTACAAAGCCCAATCAAAGATGTGCAAATCCCTTCATAATCAGCATGTGCCAAACCTGTGATAATTAAAGCATCATTCTCTTCTGATCAAGTGAAAAATGATCGAACTTTCCTTGATTACATTTGCCTAGTCAATTGGCCAGATTTTTTTCTTTTTTTCTTTTTACTAGTTGGATACCCAGGTCTTGAACTTGTATTAGGTGGTATCTGAGCACAATTTGATTACTTTTTCTTCATGATCAGTCCAGTATCAAGACATAGTCTGATGAGCTGTAAATAGTGTTCATTGAGCCCAGAAGGCAATTCTAGTCTTTGAAATAAACCCCCCCCAGTATAGCTTTATTCATAAATTTATAATTAAACTGAAAGATCCTTAATGCACTGAATGAAGATTTGTAAATACCAGACCAGGTATTTTAAGTATCTGTAGAACTAAGCCCTTTAACACAAGTTGCCGTTGTGATTTAAATGGTCTGAAAGAGGTAGTTCTTAGTAGGATGAAATATTTTATATCATAAACCTTCAAGATTTACAGCTAGTAATTTGGTGTGTTTGAATGGAGGAAAATCCATTTTTAAGCACTAGCTTGCATTTTGAAAGTCCACATAGCCTTCAGGTACTTCTTTTTTTTACAGGCTGTGTTATGACAACTTGCTCCAAACTTGTCTTTTAAGAGATGGGTGCACACAGTACTTGGGTCTTTGCCCGGTATTCACAATGACACCAGCCTCATAATTGTAGTATTAAAGTAGGGGTTTTCACATCTCCTTAAAAAAGAAGAAAGCAATTAACCTCTCCAGCTCTTTGGTCTTTAAATACGGAGGCATCTCCTTTGATGATAACAAATGGCATTGTTCAGATTTTTGCAGGAAGAGTCTTTTCCTCCACCAGATTTAAAAGTTAGCAGCGATAATAATTAGTGAATTATGCTATTCCACATGACATTATCTCTTGGGCAAAATGGGTCTTTAGTCAGTGATGCTGCTAGATCCTTATATTAGCTTTAAGTGCTGTGAAATCTGGCCACCAGACAGGGAGTAGATGAGAAATATATGCCAAGAAGTTATATTTAAATGTATATTATGAGTTAATGCAGGAATTACTTAGGTTGCAGTCCCGTGATAGATCCTGTTGAACTCAGTAGGACTTATTTCTGAGTAGGCACGCATAGCACAGCATTTTTGAAGTTAAAGCACCATGCAATGTGGGAGGGAAATTCTTTCTTTTCCCTTGAACAAACTGATAGAAAAATGAAATGCTCTTTTCAACAGAGGTTAGCATCTAGCCATTGTGCACACATACATAACAACAATAGCTTTTTCCCCCTTCAAAGTTTGGTAAGAACTTTCTGCTGCTTACCATTTGCCTCCTCTACAACCAAATCACAGCAGATTGCAAACATAGAGTGATTTTCCATCACAGCAGATTGCAAATATAGAATGATTTTCTATCACACAGCTGGAAGTCAAGTACCCAGCCACAGTGGATTTGCTAACTAGATATCCTCACCAAATCCTCTTGGTGCTAGAACATATTGTGTTTACCTTCCTGTACTCAAAGGTACCTTTGGAATGCAACTTGCAGAGCAGAGTGCTTGGGGATGATGCGTAATGCAGCACGGCGCCAGCTATGTGGTTACTCTCATTTAAGCTTTTAAACATTCATTTAATATTTTAAATAGAAACTGTTGGTCTGCTGCATTTTCAGAGCTGGTTTTGCTCTCAGTATCACTTTGTCTGTGTAATGAAAAGGGGGTGTGTGCTTAGGCTGCTTCCTTTTTCCAGGTCAAGGAATATACAAAAGCTATGTAAAAGGTAGAAACTTTTTTTTTTTACGCTGCTCAAAGAGAAGAAAGGTTTTCAATTTCCTTTTCATTGCTAAGATGAAGTTAATTGCTATTTATTTAATGGTGGGCAGAGTATCCCTCTTCTTCTAACTTGGTTCTCCAGACGTCCCCGTTTCCCGGGGACAGTTCCTGGATTTACAAATTAGTCCCCATACAAAATCTATTGAAGTTGAAAAGTGTCCCCAGATTCATTGAAAAAAATCTGGTAACCTTACTCCAGATTGCATGTTGTGGAAATTAAACATGTAGGCAAGTATCTTCCAGCAACTTCTTGCCCTTATCCACAGATGCAATTTTGTTTTCTGGTGGGGGCTGCTGAAGCATGGAAAATGGATGCTAAACAACGTTTAATACTCCTGTTCTCTAAGCTCAGCTATTTTTTCTAGTTTAGGGTTCCACGTGGGAGTTTAAAGTGGATTAAAAGCGCTCTCTCTCTCTCTCTCTTTCTCTGATGGTGTACATATGATGTCCTCATTCAAGGGGCAGCTTCCCCTTTTCCTGCCAGCTGACTGGGATTTTTCCAACCCACAGATAACCCTATAAAGGAAGAGAATCTAATGTCAAATCGCACATTACGCAACTGTGAACACACTAAGGTTCATTGTTTGGGCAGGGCTTTATGTTTGTGGTGACGTTTCCTCGAGTGCTGTCTGTCACCTTACTTCTGCCCTTCTTGAGCACAATCTAGCCATTTTGTTTCCTCAGCCCAAAGGAAAGCATGCAGTGTGTTTATTTTCACTGCTTGTTGCTAAAGGCAACTCCGTGGCGCAGTTTCTTAAATGTTTTAAACAGCTGTTCCGTGCAAAACCTCTTCACTGCAAAATCGCTGTATTAAAAAAAAAAAAAAAATTGGCCATGGGGGGGGGGGGGAAATCAGCAGGTACAGGAGATAAGAAGGAAAATGGAAAAGAAAAATAGAAGCGCTTGTCCGCTCTTTGAACACTCCTCCCCTCAAATCGCTTTCCCTATCCTGAAATGGCTACATGCCTCATCAATTTTATTTGCAATGCATTTGAACGCATTTACAAGCCAAGTTGCACCTCTGTTTTGTGCGCCAGGAGGAGGGTCTGGAGATTAAAGAACCTTGTATCTCCTCCTGCATGGCCATTCCTTGCTGTGTTGAGGTGCTTTTTGGTGGGCTGCTAAATCTTACCTGGCTGGGTGCTCTGCTGCCAATAAGGGTATTCAGCTCCATTTCTCTGTGGGGAAGATTTGCGGTGGACCACATGGCCACCCACTCCCATCCGGGGGCGGGGGGCAGAGTCACGTGTCTCCCAGAGGCCCCCGTCCATGTCATTGTTCCAGCCAGCCAATCCACTGACTGGGGGGGGCATAGCCAGGGCCCATTTAAATGGTGGCGCGAGCCACAGAGCTTCCTTCTGGCTCGCTTCCTCCATCTCCCACCCGCCCTCCCTATTTTCAGGTTTTGATATTGGCCTTGCTATGGACCTCAGTTGGTCGCTGTTGAGGGGTCTGGTAGGAATTTTTCCACTTGGCAAATTGGCGTGGGCCATTTGGTTTTTGCCTACCTCATAGCAATTGTCACAACTTTGTAAGGTTTGGCAGTTAGGCATTGGTTGATCTTATGATGGGGGAGGTGAGGTGTGGCCATCGCCCGCTCCTCCAAGCTTAAGGGTATTCAGTTAAAGCAGCGGTTCTCAACCTGTGGGTCCCCAGATGTTGTTGGTTTACAACTCCCATCATCCCTGAGCTCTGGCCTTGCTAGCTAGGGGTGAGGGGAGTTGTAGTACAACAACATCTGGGGATCCACAGGTTGAGAAAGGCTGCGTTAAAGGAATCTGGGGGTGTTGATCATGTCTGAAGCCTGGGGCAGGGCTAGGGCCATGTCACAACCCCGTCGGGAATCCAGGGGGAGCTTGAGTTGGTTTGCATTGACGGGGCTCCCCCTACTGGTGGTGGACCCTTATAGGACTCCCTGCGTGATGGGCAGGAGTCAGATATCGTCAGGTCAATTCCAATGTCTAAGCCAATACTGATAATCTGTAACCAATAAAGTTGTGGCCTCAATTTGCCCAATAACCATTAACCTAATATCTGTGTCCTCGTGTCTTATGCATCAACGAGGGGGTGGCTATGGGGTCTCGACACACAACAGGTGGTGCCTCTCCGTTGCCACTCAGCTTAATGCACACACATTTTAAGGGGCATCTCGTCCGGCCCCCTGCAATGCAGGAATCTCAGCTAAAGCATGCATGGCAGATGGCCATCCGGCCTCTGCTTAAAAACCTCCAAGGAAGGAGAGCCCACAACAGACCATTCGACAGTCGAACAGCTCTTACCGTCAGAAAGCTCTTCCTGATGTTTGTTGTTGTTGTTGTTGTTGTTGTTGTTGTTGTTGTTGTTGTTGTTATTTATATACCACCCCATCATCTGAGAAACACAGGGCAGTTTACAGCATCAAGACACAAAAATACGTAACATAATAACAAAATAATAACAATTTTTAAAAATCTATTTGAGTAAAAGGTTTGCCATTTTAGCCACTGTGAAACATACTTGAAACATTTGCTTGTGTGCAAGTTTGGTGTTGCCCAGTTCCATGGGGGGGGGGGGACAGTTTCCCAAAACAAATAGAAAACTGATCAAGAAAGCAATTATATGCTATTTATTTGCAATAATCTACCAACGTAGAAAGTCTCGTAGTAATTGGCACATTCTGGCAATTGAGTTTTGTAGCATTTGAGTGTGGATTTGAATTTATGAATGTATTTTTCATCCCAATGTACCTAATTGTCTTTTCATGTTTTCCCTTCCAGTGTATCTTGAGGATAGTTTTGTAAAATCTGGAGTCTTCAATGTATCGGAACTGGTGCGGGTGTCGAGAAGTAAGTTTCTCTTCTTTTAACCTATAGTTTTGTGTGTTACAATGTTTCTGGCTAAGAATCTGAACTCCAAACCACAGGAAACATTAACATTTGAAGTCCGTGGAACCCTAGACATGTGTTATAGTGAAATCTTCTTCCCCCTTGGCCTCCCATTGTTGAATTGGCATATTCTGACAAACCTTTTGCTTTTAAAAAATACAGGCAGTTTTTGTGGGGTAATATGCATTGTTTAGCGTTTATACAGTAGGATCTGATTATATATCTGAGTAGTGAACCCTATGAACTTCACTAAATGACTTTGTGCAAGCTGCTAACATTCTGACTTGCCCTGTAAATAAGTTACATGTTTACAGAGTACCGTATTTTTCGCACCATAGGACGCACTTTTTCCCTCCTAAAAAGCAAGGGAAAATGTGTGTGCGTCCTATGGAGCGAATGCAGGCTTTCGCTGAAGCCTGGAGAGTGAGAGGGGTCGGTGCGCACCGACCCCTCTCGCTCTCCAGGCTTCAGGAAGCTATCTGCTAGCCGTGGGAGACCCAGCTCTCCCACGGCTAGCGGAGCGCTGCATTAATCCCGAAGCTTGGGGCGTGCGGAGCTCAGCACGCCCCAAGCTTCTGGGTGCCGGCAAGGTCTCGCGACGTCGCGGGGCTCTCCCAGGGCTAGCGAAGCGCCGCGCTAATCCTGAAGCTTGGGGCGTGCGGAGCTCAGCGCGCCCCAAGCTTCTGGGTGCCGGCAAGGTCTCGCTAGCCCTGGGAGAGCCCCGCGACGTCGCGGGGCTCTCCCAGGGCTAGCGAAGCGCCGCGCTAATCCCGAAGCTTGGGGCGTGCGGAGCTCAGCGCGCCCCAAGCTTCTGGGTGCCGGCAAGGTCTCGCTAGCCCTGGGAGAGCCCCGCGACGTTGCGGGGCTCTCCCAGGGCTAGCGAAGCGCCGCACTAATCCCGAAGCTTGGGGCGTGCGGAGCTCAGCGCGCCCCAAGCTTCTGGGCGCCAGCAAGGCCTAGCGGAGACCTTGCCGGCGCCCAGAAGCTTGGGGCGCGCTGAGCTCCGCACGCCCCAAGCTTCGGGATTAGCGCTCCGCTAGCCGTGTCTAGGCTGCGGATAGCAGCCTGCTTCCCGGAGCGTCGGGCGCCCTGAAAGCAGAGCTCCAGGCGCTTCGGGCGCTTCGGGAACACATCCACAGCGTGGGGAGCCTTGCAGGAATTCCCCACAGGGCTCCCCACATGGCGGATAGCAGCCTGCTGCCTGGCGGGTGGGGCGCCCTGAAGCAGAGCGCCCCTCGCGCCAGGCAGACATCCGCAGAGTGGGGAGCCTTGCAGGAGTTCCCCGCAGGGCTCCCTACGCTGCGGATAGTAGCCTGCCGCCCGGCGGGTGGGGCGCCCTGAAGCAGAGCGCCCCGCGCGCCAGGCAGACATCAGCCAGCCCCACAAGCTCGGGGGACAGCAGGGAGGCGCAGCGCCACTATCCCACTGTTCCTCGACCTGGTTCGGTTTCCCTGACCTGCTTTTGGGGGGGAAATAAAGGGGATTTTTTTCCCCTTTATTCCCCCCCAAAAAAACTAGGTGCGTCCTATGGTCCGGTGCGTCCAATCGTGCGAAAAATACGGTATATTTAATAAATTAATCCCATTCAACGAGGTCCACCAAATATATATGATTATGGCTGCAAACATATGGACACTTCCTTAGGAATAAGTGCCATCAAATTAATTTCTGAATAAACCTGCATAGGATTGGGCTGCAAGCCTTTGGTTGAAAGAGCAGAGTGAGATTGCAGTTAAATTAATAGTTTCAGTTCTATACTATTAGCTTTGTTTTAATGAAGTATCAGGTTGATCTGTTCAGACATTTTTATTTTCTACAAAGGTTTGCATACCAAGTTTAGTTTATACTGAAGATTGCGAGGAAGTTTTTTTGATAAGCATGGAAATCAGTTAAACAAGGAATAAGCTTTCTTATGCCAGCAAGAAAGAAATGTTATAAATAGGAAGCTTAATTTTAGTTCCGAATAGTTAATAAATACATTAGGAACATTTCTTTATCTGTCATGAGAATAATACATCCAGTGAGCATCCTATAGTTAGAGAATAGCCTGAGCTAAGATTATTCATCATGGTTTTTGAATATACTTGCATGGTAAAGTGCAGTTGTTGGTTGAATAGAAAAATGTGTTAATGTACAGCACTTGTGCATGTTTATTCAGGAGTCAATTCCACTGTATTCCCTAGCACTTACTTTCAGGTAAATGGGCACACAATTGCAGCCTTTAGTATTCTAAATTGCATTAAAGTCATTCAAAAATATGCAGCAACAGTGAAAACTTCCAATTTCAGGTGTATTTGGGATTATTATTCTGTGACATGAAACAATTAGTTTAACGTTCTGGGCCCTTCTAATTAGCAAGTAAATTGTATGTAAACTACCCCAAGAATTTGATTGAAGGGCACCAAGAGATAATAAATACACACATTTGTTGTAAATAAGTAATGTAATGCATGCTTGTATTAATGAAAGTGAAAATAATGCATGGAGCATATTAATGTATGTAAAATAAGAGTTTATTTTCCAATAGATATTCTGTTTCACCAACTGAAACAAGCGTGTGTTTATGCTGCATTTAAAATAATCCCATTTTTGTGTTGTTGCGTCCAGAATAAATACATTTTAAATTATGTAACAGAAGTATTGTACTTGTGACAGTAATTTTCACTTTTTTTCATGAAATGTTGATGGACCACGAGAACTCATGGAACTAGTTAATCACATAACTGTCTAGCTTTTCCCTGGTTATGGGTTAATTTTTCCTCAAATTATGCAACTAGGAAAATTAATTTCCTCTTGCTTCTCATAGACAAAAATATAGAGAGAACTTTGTTTAAGGGTGTGCTTTTGTTAGTATTAAATTGCTGTTTAAAGACTGGTGTGACTATCTTAATGCTGTGTTCTTTAGCGCCTATAACCCAGGGAGCTGGAGTCAACTTCCCAATTGGAGAACTTCCAAGTCAACCATACTACCATGACATGAACTCGGGTGTAAACTTACAGAGGTCACTATCCTCTCCACCAACCAGGTGAGCATAATCATTTTTTATTGTTAGGATGTTTTTGTTGTTGCTGCTGCTGCTGTTTTTTTTATATATATCTTATGCTTTATGTGGAAATTGTTCAATTCAGCAGTGTACTTATTGATGTGCTTTATTTACAGTTACCTTTTGTAATTATGCAACTCTTTTTATATCGTAAGTCTCCTTCAGCATAGGTTTTAATGGCAGAAAGGTGACATGTAAATAAAATGACGATGAGGTGCAATATTGTACTTCTTAATTATGTGTAGACAAATAACAGTTAAATATTTCCAATGCTTTCTATTAAAATGGAAAAAGCAAGTAGGTGTGGTGATACATTTTACATTATCAAAAAAGTCAACAAAATAGAGTGGAAGCTTTCAAAGCAATCATTTTGTCAAACAATAGCAGCAACAGCAACAGCAAATACTGGTGATGTAAGAAGTGTGAATACTACTACTACTACTACTACTAATAATAATAATTTATTCATACCCTACCCACCTGACTGGGTTTCCCCAGCCACTCTGGGCAGCTCCCAACAGAATAAAAGCATGATAAAACATCAGTCATTAAAAACTTCCCTATACTGGGCTGCCTTCAGATGTCGTTTAAAATCAGATAGTTGTTTATTTCTTTGACATCTGATGGGAAGGCATTCCACAGGGCAGGCGCCACCACCGAAAAGGCCCTCTTCCTGGTTCCCTGTAACCTCACCTTTCACAGTGAGGGAACTGCCAGAAGGCCCTTGGAGTTGGACCTCAGTATCCAGGCTGAACAATGGAGGTGGAGATGCTCCTTGTAAATCTAGTGAGATCCTTGCTATCTATCTATCTATCATCTATCTATCATCTATCTATCTATCTATCATCTATCTATCTATCTATCTATCTATCATCTATCATCTATCATCTATCTATCTATCTATCTATCTATCTATCTATCATCTATCTATCTATCTATCTATCTATCTATCTATCTATCTATCTAATCTATCTATCATCTATCTAATCTATCATCTATCATCTATCTATCTATCTATCTATCTATCTATCTATCTATCTATCTATATCCATCTATCTATCTATCATCATCTATCTATATCTATCTATCTATCTATCTATCTATCTATCTATCTATCATCTATCTATCTATCTATCATCTATCTATATGCGCATATTCTCAGCCTCAATGTAGCATGTGAGCAATAGGTTTTTGGATCTGGAAACATGAGTTCAGAGTTTGGTTTAACCCAGGAATAGTTTTGGGCTTGACACATGCCATCTGGATCAAAAGAGCTGTCTGTTGTTACTTTTAACACACATGAAGGCAGTTAAATTAATGCTTCTTCTTATATATTCACAGTAAGAGACCCAAAACTATATCCATAGATGAGAATATGGAACCAAGCCCAACAGGGGACTTTTATCCTTCCCCCAATTCACCAGCTGCTGGGAGCAGGACATGGCATGAAAGAGATCAAGGTGAGTAAATCCATATCTTTATAGTGCTTCAGGCTCATTTGTGGAATTTTGTTTTACCTCATAAATACATTCATGCTTTGCAGTTTGAAATGGAGATTCAAATCTAAATCTACTACTAGGCTGAAGTATATTCCTAGACTTTTCAAACTTACAAAGTAGTGTCCATTAGTCATCATTAACCTTACCATCATCCTTTTTTTTTATTTTTACACCCAGATATTGTGAATATGCATACCAATCCTTTTACTAAAACAACAGTTTTTACTGGAAACTAATCCTGTCAAATTAGAGGGTCAGGATAGATATTAATTTATTTATCTGACTCTCTGGCTAGCAGAATCTAGCCACGCTGGTAAATAATTGAATAAATTATTAAGCTTTCACCGTATATTTTAGAAGAAAATGAATAAACATTCTGCCTTTTTTCTGGCTTGTTTCTGTGCCTTTAATAGCAAGTTGATGTGAAAACATTAAGAAAGTCGAAGCTGCCTGTGGTATGAAGAAAAAGAAATGGCTTCACTTGTTTTATTTCCCCATGTTGGTTTGCTAATAGAGGTTCGGAAGCAGGTCCAGAAAAGATCTAATAGCCTTAACCCTGGTGATTTGCATCCTATTTTATGCTCCCTAATGTCCTGAAATTTTCATTTTGCTTTGTTCTTAAATTATTTCTGTTTATCTATACATATAAGCCAATGAACATACTAGTTTACCCTCTACTGCCCAGTAACTGCTACCCTGAAAGTTATAGACATTTAGCCAGCAATCATGCTGCCCACGTCCTTGCATATAATAAACATAACAAAGTGCACCTTCTGTTTATCATTTATTATTTTTATTTCTTTAAGGCATTCATATAAAGCGTGCATAAAAAAATAAACCAGGCAGCAAATAAAATTCACCTTAAAACCAAATAGAAACTTGAATACTTCCTAATTTCTCTTTTACTTTTAATTATCATTAACTAGTAGTTCTTTTCATAGTCTTCCTTGAGGTATTTCACATAATCCTCCTTACAGAACTTCTTGCATTCCTGCTAGCGTAATCTGTTTATTACAATTGCTTTTTAAATAATTCAAATATTTAATTCAGTCTTCTAAGAATCTCTGGTCCCGCAGGTTTCGAATCCTGTCGAAACTGAGTTGGGAGGAAGTTCCACAATGCTAAATACATGGCTTCTAATAGTTCAGTTGTAAGGAGGAATACCTCACCGCCTTGATAGTCAGCCAGCCCTGGCATGGCCAGTCATTTAGAGTATCTTTTAAGAGCAGACAAATTGGGACAACTTGGTGGCACCCTTTGATGGGGTGATCAAACTTTTTTCCCCAAAGAGGGCCAGATTTGATGAAGTGAACATGCCTGAGGGCCGGCTTTTTTTTAGGACTTTATCCCAGGACATATACTGCCATGGGGGGTCAGATTAAATTAATTGACGGGCCGGATTAGGCCCCCGAAACAGACTTAGGACATGCCTGCCTTAGCGGCACAGATCCAGGCAGAGGCTTAGCCACCCCTGTTGTAATGGAACATTTTTAATTGGTTCTATCAACCAGTTCCTTTCCCACCTTCCCTTATGTAAGAAGTATCTGAAATATAAATGGGGTACTTGAATAAAACAGTTCCTTACATTTGACTTTCTGTTGATACAAGTGATATGCCATATTCCTAGCTAAGTGCCAATAGTAATAAGGCCTGATTGAGTTCCACCTCCTCAGCCCCACTGTCTTGCCTTAGAGGACATCAGTGGCAGCTGTTTTCTTGTAATTTCCAGCAAAGAAGGGCTTTCCTGCACCATGGGCTGAGCGAGATCAAACTGCTGAGCACCAATGCCTTGTCTTAGACGACATCAGCGAGAGCCGTTGCCTATGTTGGTGGCAAGTCTTTCCCTGATGTCCTCTGACATCAGTGCATGGAAGTGGGGTTGAAGAGCTGAAACTTGCTTAGCACATAATGGAGGCAAGCGAAGCATATCCGATCAGCAAAAAACAAACTTCCTTAGTTCTGGCCAATTGTCTCTGCCAGAATTCCATGCCCTTGTTTGCTTTTTGAAAGACCTGCAATATTATACAGAAAAGTGCATGGGTTACTAGAATTAGGTATTTTGTGGTAAAAGGATATAACTTCTCCTGAGCCAGTGAAAGCTACCCATTCTCAGAAGATCCTTATCTTTCATCTCATCACCTCATGATGTTATCCAGTTTCCCAGTTGCAATTAATAACTATTTCTAGCTTACACATAAAAATGAATTACATATTGTATACGGTATGCAATAGTCTTTGTTTCAGATTTATATTGATCGTGGGTTTTTTGCCTTGTTTCTTTTTAACATAGCATTAAGAAGATGGTTTTTGTGCAGGGTTTTTACTTAAAGGGAATGTTACACTCTTTGGAGCAGTTGTGGTACCAATCATAAAAGTTCCATTTTAGTATTCCCCAAATATTTATGTCTCTTGGCCCCTTTGCACCTCAGGCAGTATCCCCCATTCCCCCAAATGATCTTTTTACAGCATGTTTAAACAATATTTTATTTGGGCCAGTTTTTACATTCTTCCCACTTACTGCAAAATATCAATTTGGAATGTACTCCCCTCCCCAACTTTCTATAAATAATGCAAGTTTTATTTGTATCTTTTTGTACATATATTTGCAAACATGGGGATATAGGATTGGACTTAAAATAAAAAAGACTCGCCTATTGGTTGGTATTATTATTATTATTATTATTATTATTATTATTATTATTAATCAACATCTGTTGGGGTGCTCAGACATTGCTCTTTATTCATCTCCCAAAGAATGAGATCAAAAGTGATCCTCAATTTTTTATTTTTTATTTCCCTCAGTTACCCTCACCACATGCAGAAGTGGTCGTCTGTACTAGGAACCTTCACAACTATTTAAGGAGGATTCTCGTTTACTCTAGTTATTGATAGTTAGAGTGATTTCCATACCCAGAATAAGCTGCAATCCCGTGCTCCCATTCTATACACCATGAGGGGAACAGGAAGGGGAAATGCAATGAGTGATGGGAGCACCATCTGAACAGATGCTCTATTTTGTTGTCGTTGAGTTTTGGTACTGATTTCATGAAAAGTCACCCAATACTTAAAACTTGAATGCTTGTATCAAGAAAGATAATCTTTTAAGTTCCTTTGCATGGTGGTCTCTGCATAATTCTAGTTGTGGAGTGCAGAGTTCTGTGGTGCTTAAGCTTTGGAGACCTGCAGTTAAGAGGGGAAAAAATTGTGTCTAAACGGATTCATGGTAAAAACCGGTCATTTAAGGGGCCAGGGTTATGGAGTGGCATAAGTTCCTGTGTCCCCCCCCCTTTCTTTATTTGGCAATTTTAAGTATAGTCAACAATTTTAACTGAGGTGTAGGAAAACATATCCGGGCGATAAATCTCCCCCCCTTTCTCGTGGTACTCGAGGCATTGAAAAAAGCAACCTATGTTATTTGTTTAGGATGTTAGTTCCATTGCTTTAGTCCTGCTCCTGTAATAGACGTTGATAGGAAAGACATCGCTGGTGGCTATTGCCACATGAATTACACAAAAGACATAGGCTAAAATGGGAAAGAAAATGGGTAAACATCATCTGCAGAGGCAATTTTCAAAAATTGTCCAACCTCTTGCAGCTCCTTTATCGTGAACTATGGTGTATCAGGAATAATTTTCCCATGCAGATTTATTATAGGGACTGGACTGTTTTACTTTTTTGCAGTCTAAACTTTGACTGATAATTCATATTAGTTTATAGTAATTATAGTGCTGCATGGATGTGTTTGGAGTGTTATTAGCCTATTCCTTGGTATGCGTCCTGAATGGTTACTGAATTGATTCCTATCCTGTCTCTTTAGCTTTAAGAGATGTTTGTCATGTCACTTTGCCTCTCAAACACTTAAATACTTACAACTTCCGTTGATGTGCTTCAGTGATAAGCACAGCCTTCCATTGTAAACTAAACTGCCAGGCTTCGCATATCCTGAATGTGCAAATACAAATGTGTTTCCAACTTAGAATAAGGTTGGTTTGGGATAGGCAGCATGATCAATCTTTCAGAGGAAACCTTTGACACATTCTAGGTTCCTCTCCGAGGCCCTGGTCCTTGGAGTTAACTAGTTCACTCAATCTACTAAGCCCAGACTTCTAGTAGTGGTCGTCAAAATACCTGTCATTACCTACTCAATTCTAGAGAGCAATAGGATTTTTTATTGTATACATTCACACAAGACATGTGGTTTGAGAATCCTACCAGAACACAACACACTCATTCTCTCCCTCATTGCACCCCCTTCACTCTCTGCTCAGCTCCACTCTTTTTTACACCCCTTTTTATCTCTCAAAGTCAACTCTGACGTTCTATATCTGGGGTTCGCTTCACTCAGAATTCCATCACACTCACCTGTTGTCCATTCTTCACCCAAGACATTGTTACGTTGCGTTATCAGGAAATACTTTTCCGGTCTCCTGAAATTCAGGGGCAGGTGTGTTTCTTACCATGAATTGGCACATTTGAGGTCTGGTTTTGTGGCAACTTCAGCACCGAGAACTATGGTTTTGATGTTCTGGGTTGGTAAGTACCAAGGGACCTGGTACAGTTCATCCCCAGGGTCTCCATACGAGAGGACTCGGGTCACGTCACAAAGGAAAAAGAAGAAACACTATTGGCCAAATTGCTGCTTTCATAAGTTTCTGAGGCTAGTGGCAGAAGATGAGATTATTTGTAACCTCAGTTCCCAACATCCAGTTGCCATAAGAGTACGGTCATGCACTTATGGCAGGCACAGCTTTTCTAGAAGGTTCCTGAAGCTCAGCAGCACCTGAGATCTTTGCTCCACAAGTATGAATATGCAGAACCACAGTTACTGGTAAGTAATTCTTCTTTTCAAAAAAATAAAAAAATGATGGCAATTTTATCACAGTGTGAGAAAAGAGAATTTTGTGGGTTAAAAATATATATTTCATGGAGTTTATGTTTCACCGTTTATTAACGATTATTAA